GCTGCATACATCATCGAGGCTGTCTCATTTCAGAAAAGCAACTAGGACACTCCAAATGCGACCTTCTTTCACAGGAATTCGGAGGATGCTTGAGGTGTATCCTTCGCTGCTACAGATAACCCACAATTCTTTGCGTCGCCGTAAACAACCATCGTTAATTTGAAAAATGCTGGCGCCGACAGATGTACACACAAGCGCAGATGTGGTGTTTACAACGTACCTTAAATTGCCTCAGGTAAAAACAGATAAACTTTGTTCTTAAATATCCTCCTCCTTTTTTTCTTTAACAGATGTCTGTTGTACGTATGCTGCAGCTCCTCAAACATTGAAAAAAATAAAAGTAAAAGCATTTTTTTTTTTCAAATTACTTTCCAAATTTTGAAATTATTTTCCTTCATTTAAGTGTTGTGAGAGCGCAAGACGCTCTAAATGTTTTGGCATAGCAACGTGATACTTCCGGTTTCCTTTTCCACATGTCTTACGAAGGCAGTCTCATTTCATTCTAGGTTGAGGACACTTCGTATACGCATCCTAGAGGATGCGACCGCCAGAGGATTCGACCTCTGGAGGGCGCAGCCTTCTAAATGAGACACAGCTTTTGTTTGTATTCGTCACTCTGTAGAAGAACGTGTGTGCACAGCAGTGTTAATTTTGACAGCAAATTTTGATTTAGTTTTAGTCAAAAACTAAAACTAAGTTTTTGACTAAAAACGTCTTTTGACTAAAATGCCATTTAGTTTTAGTCATATGTTAGTCATCTGAATTGTTTTTAGTTTTAGTCAACTAAATCTACAGTAAATTTAGTCGGCTACAATCTAATGGGTTTAGTTACAGTGTAATGCATTTATTAAGCATTTCTCTAAAATTTCCAAACTCATTATATATAGGTTTGATATTAAGGTTTTATCATGATAGACACTGATTTAACTGTTGTGACACACAACATGCCTTTATGTTAAAATGAAATAAAACCACTTCTCACAAAGAACAAGAACATGGTCTACTTTTTAATGAAATACCAATGGTTATATAGGCTAATTCTGCATTCTTTATAGTAACTTGTTTACCATATTCTTCATTCTTTCAAGCAGACATTTATTTCTATAAATAAATTTAGATTAATCTTCAAGGCTACTAACGTTTTTCAGTCAAGAGCAGTGCGTGATTTCCGGTCTTTCTTTTGTTACTTGATTAACATCGATGACTTGGACAATAGCAACTAAATTAGGCTGCTATCCCTTTAAAAACGAATGCACAGCTGCAATGGATGCAATGTACTGATACACGTTCTTCCTACTGTTTACGTTCACTTAAGACGTAATCCACTGTGTTTACATGAATACGCATCAAAACGGACAATTCAACATCATTTTGTGTGTAATTCTCCGTTCATGCGACGCGAAAGAGTACTCGCACGCTGTGAGACGCGCTTTGTGTGTATAGTGTCTGCGCTCAGAAAACCGGACCGACGTGCAGCAAGTGCATTTTAGCTTATATCCCGCCGGTTCATCTAACCTCCGAACCACGCAGCAGATTCGTTCTGAATGAATCTCATCCCAAATAGATCCTCCCTAACATTTTCGTCTCGTTTTTATTCGTTGACGAAAATGTCAATAGATTTACGTCATAGTTTTTGTCATTCAAAAAGAGTTTTGTTATCGTCTCGTTGTCGTCGGTGGAAAAAAATGTCATTGACGACAATTATTACCAAAATTATTCGTCAACGAAATTAACGCTGGTGCACAGGATGCAATGCATGTTTCTTTACAAAGTGACATCGCCAACTATTGGCCTGGCATGCATAATACAGCCAGGCCAGTTTTTAGAAAAAAACTTTTCCACTTTTAAACTAAAACCATAAAAAAATATATTTTTTTATTACTTGAAATAAAAGTAAACATTATCTGAATTAAAATAAAATAGTAAAAGCCTTTAAAATACTATAAAAATAAATAGTAAAGTAAAACCTTAATAATAATAATAATAATAATAATAATAATAATAATCAACTTTTAGCTAGTTGTCAAGACATTTCTCAACTTCATTTAATTTATGTGGAAGCCTGTTTCCACCACAGAATTTAAAAAATTCATTAAAAAGTTAATTGCAATTTTTATCTCACAACTCAGACTGTTTCTTGCAAATAGGAGAAAAACATCTGAACTGCAAGATAGAAATGTACATCTGAGTTTACATTTTAATTCTAAGTTTACATCTCAACTTTTTTCTCTTAATTCTCAGATGACATTGCAATTCTGTTTTTCTGTTATTCTGTTTTTTTGTTAAGAACTAAAAAATAAAAAAGGTAATTGCGACTTCTCACAATTCCAACTTTTTTCTTGCAATTGCAAGTTTATATCTCACAATTCAGACTTTTTTCTCAGAATTGCGAGTTTTATATCTCGCATAGTTATATCTTTATAGTTAACATCAGCTTATACTGTGAATAAATACGTCTGAATTGTAAGATACAAATTCAGAATTGTTAGGAAAAAGTCATGTGTAAAAGAACCAATTACTTTTTTTAATTCATTTTTTTTATTCCATGCTGACAACGGGCTTCCTGAAGTTTAGGGTGAAATACTAAAATAACAAACCCAAAAACTAAACTAAAATGTAAAAACTATAAAGACTATAAACTATAGAAATATAAAAACTATAAAGAATAATCTAATAAAAGGTACAACATACAACATAATGGAAAATATAAATAATAGGAAATAGAAAATATTTAAAAAATCTAATCAATCTACGTGCATGCATCCATGACCGTTTGTTCTCCCTCTCCACTCGCCTCTTTTCCGATGCTCTGTTTGCTCTGAGGGTCTGCAGGCTGCTGTACTGATCAATATCTCTTTGTGATCAATAACGTCCTTTCCTCTCGAACTGACAAATGCAAGCTCATCATGTGCACTATCTACAGCTGACAAGCAACTAAGATCATTTAAAGGTAGGACATCATCCGTAATCAATATGAAGGGAGTCTAAGAGAGCTCAGCTAACCCACTCATGTCCAGAGATTGGTGAGGCGATGCATCCTGAAAGAGCTCCCCCATGGCTGAGGAGAGATGGACAGTGTGGCCACCTGTATGGATAGCAAGAGCCAGAAATACTCTAAAGCAGACAGCTCAGTTGCTCAGAGGCAGCTGGACTGGAAAACGATCTGAATTCTGCCACAGGCGATATTTCTGTGGGCTTCTGAGCAAAGCAATGCCAAACAAACTTCTGTCTCTCTCAATGTGCACCCCACCGCCTGCCTCTCTCTTTCTCTCGCTCCGTGAAGGGAGATTTCACGCTATACAATGTTATAAAGCTATTAAATCTTGCCACCTCTGGCTCTTTCCTTTCTAACTTTGTCAGTGCTCTGTACCATACATAATTAAACTCATGTACAGTCTCCCAACTAAATCAACCTAAACCCTAACTTTTTTTTTTTTTCCAAAATGGAAGTTATCATCTCTTGAGTTTTGGTGGAAAGAGACCAATTAAATGTGTTATTTAACCAGGGTATATTCTATGGTGTCATTTGTATAATGAGCCGTGTTATTTGGAGGAGAAGGACTGCCTCGCACCAGTGAAAAAGCCCCTGGGTCTTAAAGGGAAATGCCACTGAAGTTATATTACGGGAAGTGTGGCTTCTCGTGATGCTATATGCATTATTTAAAAGTTTGCATCCCATTTGCATTTTAATACACCCTAAAAGTCAATGCACACTGGCCTATAGGTCAACCTGGAATACTTTACCCACAATACACCACTCCAAAGTGCAAAACCTGATGACATTAGCTGCGTCCCAATTCAGACGCTGCATCATTCGAAGGCTAAATTTGAAGACTGACTGCATCACCGCGGTGCGACGACGGCAGTCCCGATTCAAAGGCTCCTTCAAACCTTCGTTTCCCAGGCAATGAAGGATACAACTGATGGATCCTTCATGGCCCAGGCTATCCCAAGATTCATTGCACACTGATGATGACAGGACTATTTGAGAGAAAAGACTGGATTACAATTTTAAATTTAAGTATTGGGTTTCAGCTTACTTGAATATCTAATGATGCTAATATACAAATGTAAAAAAAAAAAATCTTTAAAGAGGTTTACATGTTCACATATCTTACTGAGACGCGATTTTATAGATGATTTATACTTATTATATAAATGAATGGACCAAGGGGAGCATATTTAGACAGGTTCTGAACCCTGTTTTAGTTTTCAGACAGTTTAATATCACTTTCAAAAAAGTCCAACGGCAGCTGTCACAGTTGATCGGTGACAAGATCAATCCTTCGCAGGCTAGACTGTCCCATTTCACAATGCTCAGTCCAACCTTCCTGGCCTTTGCGAATGATCCAGCCTTCGAACTGGGACACAGCAATTGTCCAACGCAAATATGAGCTTCATGTTCAATCAGGAGTTTTCAAACGGAGCACTAGGACGACTGTGGAAAATTTCAGAGTAAAATTGACATTATTTAAATAAATAAATGTTAATAATTTTTGTAATCTTTTCAAATGTTTTACATATATTCATAATGTTCACTATTTTTGTAATATAAATGGGTCTTTATATATGGAATCATTTACATTATTTTTTATATTTATATATTCTTTATATTTCAGGAAGGAAATCTTGATATTTTTGGGTCCATGGCATCAGATGCAATAGACTGGAAAACCCTGTTAACTTACTATAGAGGCACTATTTTAAAATTAATTTGCACAGTCATACACCTTAAATGTCAGAAAAAAAATTGCAATTCTGAAAAATTTAAAGTAAAGTAGTGTTAAAATGTAAATAAATAAATACAAATAATACAATATTGGATATTAATGATATTAAACATAGTAAAATAAAACATTTAAATATTTCAAAATGTTTTGGATATATTCATAATAATTATTATTATTTTCAAGACTATAAATAGGTCTTTATGGAGATAAATATTTTTGTATTTCAGGAAGGTCATATGTGGGGTCCATGGCATCAAAATTTAAACTCACCATATAAGATGTTAATGAGCGAGATAGGCATGACCAAGATGCCAACCAGCATGTCCGCCACTGCAAGTGATCGCAGGAAGAAGTTTGTTGCGTTTTGCAGCTTCTTCTCCAGCGACACGGCCAAAATAACCAAAATATTTCCTCCTATCGTCAGAAAGATAATCACAAGAATCAGCAGGGCTGGCCAGTTCTTCTCCTTCATTGACTCCTTTTCAACCCCATGAGGAGAGAATGAAGAAGAGGAGGAGAGATTAAAGCTGTAGTCAATCGTGAAGAGGCTCTGGCTCAGGCTCACGGTGGTATTCCCAGGCCAGACCATCCAGCCAACGAGGTCTAGGGAGGATGTCGTAGAGCTAAACCCACCCCGAACTGGCCCGCCAGGTGCCCCCATCTTCTGATGTCTTTTCCTGTCACCCTGTATCAATCTGAGCTCCTTCCACTCACGGCCGCTGACAGCCACTTACAGGAAGAAGAGTTTGGAAGTTCAAAAACGTTGAAGTGATCCACTCAAAATGCTATGTGAAGGAGAAATCTACAGCGCTGAGGATATCCATAGCATTTCCTGGTGCAAGTTTCTAGCTCTGGATCTTATTCATGGAAACCGTATCTGTAAAACACAATGAGAGACACACAATAGAGCAATGAATACCAAAAAATATAAAAGATAAACTCATAGATAAAAGGCACTATAAAAGAACTACAAATTACAGTTACTCAGATAAAATAATAACAGGAATCAAAGTCACAGAATTGAAGGTTGTGATAATTTTGTACAGTACAATGCCTAAAGAATGAATGACAGCACTGTTGAATTGACTGTCACAGTGAGAATATCTCCATCATAATATTGGAGGAAGCACAAATGATCAGTTACTGAAATATCCATCCATTTCGGGCAACCAATGGTGGCCTTCTCCCTGTGGTAATAGAGGGTAATTGAGTTCACAAGTTAAAATGATATGCTACAATCTGGGTCTCCGCGAACCTGTTGCATTGCCCTGCCGAGGGCAATAATTCACCAAATCTGAGGTTACTCATCATTAAATTAGCTGGTATTAATAACACAAGACACCTGTCAAAGGTAATGTGATGTAATGTCATTATTATCGTGATGGACAAGTGGGTAATTGTCACTTCATACAGCCAGTCACTTTGCGCTTGAACCGAACGATGTCTAATAAGCTTCGGTAATTGCAATTTTCACCCCATCGGTTAGGCTGTGCATTATAGTAGGTGTAGACTGATGGCACGTTACGTGCGTGGGAATAACAAGTACCCACAGTGCTCTGTGGCCCACAACTAACCACGTATGTTTTAATTAGGAGAAAGCAGGCACTAACTGTAGGTAAGTTGAGAACTTTCTCCACTCCTCCAATGGCTGTCATTTATCATGACTACCAGATCAATAAGATGATTATTTCAATATATTTATCTTTATAAGTTAAGATTATCTGCTTTATTTTCATTAAATGGAAATATTGGTTGGTTCCCTCAACCAATTGCAATTTATTGAAAGTAAGGTGAAAAGAAGAACCGCAGTATGAATCAGTAAATCAAGGTGAAACAAAGCCATTCCTCTCTAAACTGTAGAGATTGTCCCCTATAGATAGAAAATGTGAGTCACACAGAAAAATATGACACAACCTGTCCCGGTTTCCTTCTACAATGCTAAGAAATAGGTTTATTCACTGCAGGGGACAGCAGTTTTCTGATGTACAGACATGTTTCCCCGCATCTAAATAGAGAGCAAAATTGCAATGCTCCTCAGATGCAGCAGAGTCCGCGGTAGTTCACCTCTTCTCTGGAGACTGCAGATAAAGCAAACCAACAGCAAAAAGTAAAAGGGCCCTACAATAAATAAATCACCGGATAATCACTTCCTGTGAATTCTCCTCACACATACACAAAAACGGGAGCACCCTAAATGCAGTCATATACAGGTTCAAGGAAAGTGCATAAAAGCCACAAGACTTCGAATTTACAGTCAGCTCTGAATCTTAATATGACCATTCACATCCCATTATAAAAGAATAGAACATCTCCTTTGGGAAACATGATGCTGGGCAAAAAAAAAAAAAAAAAAAAACACCATGGGCTGAAGCAGGCTAAAAAACAATATCAGCATTTTTTTTACTACACTGTGAGCCCAAAAAGTATTTTGACACCACACACTTACATAGAAATATTCACACTACAGTTCAAAAGTTTGGGGTCAGATTTGTATTCAGCAAGGATGCATTAAATTGGTATAAAAAAGACGAATAAGACATTTAGAATCTTCCAAAAGATTATAAATAATTAACTGCTGCTCTTTTGAACCTTCTATTCATCAAAAGTATTAACCCCAATCAGCAAATTAGAATGATTTCTGAAAAGTCAGCTTTGCCATCACAGGAATTAATTACATTTTAAAATATAATAAAATAATTTTTATAATAAAAACTGTATCAAATACATGCAGCCTACGTGAGCATAAGAGACTTCTTTAAAAACCTTACCAACCCTGAGGTGTTCAAATACTATGGGATCAAAGTATACATTGGAAAACTGCAAAAACAAGCCAAAACCTCACAGTTTAAATGAAAAGAACACTGAAAGATGAACTCTGAGTTAACAAAGCTGATTGTGGCTCACCTGATGAGAATCCTAATCTTAGTCTCTCCAACTCTCATTCTCTCTCTATTGCTCTCTCTCAAATGCTCTCTTTTCCCTTCAGACACCTCTTCATCATCCATTAATGAAGCGGATGAGAGTGCACTCACAAACTAAGTGAGATTCTGCATTCCAACAATGGGTAATTAGCATCCTCAGCAGAAGCCAATCAAGTAGTTGTGAATTGGGATAAATTGGCATGAAATGGAACGACTACACAAAACAAGGACAATGCTCAAATACCTTCCAGCGATTCAAATCTTTCATCTGGAAACGATCAGCACTGGATTAGAATTTGGGTTCATTTGGAATGCTTTCATTGTGGGGAAATGTTTCCAAAGCATTCCGAGATTCCCTTATGATCCACCAAAACCACAAATAAACATTCATGTTTTCTTTTTTGAATAGGATGGGGGTAAAAAAGAGACAAAAAGACAATAGAAAATGGGTACAAAATATGATTCAGCCTCAGAGTGTTTCAGACACTGACCTACTGTACATGAAAGTGTTCTTAGAACTGGTTGTCTCATTTCATATTTGAATTGGAAAATGAAATGCAGAATTATTTTTGCATGATGGGAATCGTGGGCGGACGAACCTGCCCGAGGGAACTAAAATTTCCACCCACTAAGAAAAGTTTAAAAACCCTTTTGCTTCCTGACAGAAAGGTTAAATATTCTCCTTAGCTAAATCTGAGTGGTGTGTATGTGTGTGGGTATGTGTGAAATAAGGACAAGAAATGAATGCTGAGTAGTTCATTAGTCCTGGTGCTGTTGACCGAGATCAACAGAGACAAATGAAGAATAGAGCAAGGCATTGCGAGACTAAGATTAGATTGAGTGACTCTGACAGCACCACTAAGTGAAGGAATCTGTATGTGTGCGTCTGTGGAATTACAAATCTAATATTACGGCCCCAGTCGCTTTGTTTGGTGATATAAATGAAACGTAAAATCAGGCGAGCGAGAGTAGCCACATGTGTGCGTGGGGTCTGGCACAAATAAACAGACTTACACGGATCCCCGAGGATCCTAATAACACAATGGGCAAGCGCTAAACATATGCATATCCAGATTTCTTCTCGGCATGTGGTTGCGAAATGGACCCCAATTGTTATCCAACAGAGAAGACTCTCACGTCTCCTAATTTATTGTTCTGTTTAACTCAGCACTGCTTTTCATAACTGAGACTATCATTTTTGTCCGTAGGGCTGAATAGCGGTTTATAGATTAAGAAAGTAACCAGCAGGTTTGAAAAGCCATTTGCTCAGTGCCGTTCAGTTCAGCACTTTAATGGAACAGAAGATAAGCTCCAGTCTCAATTTATCCTGGTAGGGAAAAAAACGTGACATAAGAAGCGAAAACTTGTTTCTACGGAACAGAAGCCATTTCTGGACTAATTTAACTAAACAGCTAAACACGAACTGCTCTGCTAACTCCCGCCCTTGGCCTTTTCTTTTCACTTTATTTTGCAGTTAGCAGGGTGAAATACTTAGGGCAAGCTTTTGAAAGAAAATCACTAAACATCCTTAACACAACAACAAATATTTTTGTCTTTTTATACACATATACATTAGGCTACATGTTTCTCCACAGTGATACAGTGATTCATCTGCAGCTTGCGGTACATGACCATTACCTGTCTCTACAATCTGCTTTTGTAAGATAACCCAGACTAATGATTTGAAATCTATTCATATATGTCCATTTCGCCCTGCTCTTCACATCGCTGGAGAAGGTCATTCAGATAATAACTCAACTAATATGGGAGGGCTGTTACAGGAGTCACTAAATCAGGCATAAGATTCTTGCTCCTGCAATATTTTGGCAATTATAGAATCTAAAAGATGAGAAAGCCTTTGTTTTGTTTTTTTGTGATTTTCTATGATTTATTTGTAATTTTACAATACAGAAATCGAAATTCAAAAATTAGCATGCAGCATGTTTTTCCTGCACATTGGATATTCTGGAACAGATCCTCTGTGACAAAGGTTTAGACTCGCAGTAAGCTGGTTACAGGACCATTTGACATGGCTTTTTGCTCATCCACCTGTTTTTCTTTGAATCAGATGCTAGTCACATGCTAGCCAGACTGCTAATGTGCATTTAACAGGCAGAAATCAATAACTAATCGATACTGTTTCATAAAGAGCTAATAATGAGGAGAATACACACATACAGGTGCATCTCAATAAATTAGAATGTCATGGAAAAGTTCATTTATTTCAGAAACACAGACACACACATACAAACTAAATATTTGAGAGCATGAGAAACCTCTCTGAACCATGAAACTGTGCTTTACTTGCTTGGATTAGCATCAGTCACTCTGACACTTTTGTGAGACAAAGCTTTCAGAAAGTCTTAAGGTGTGATAGGAACACCAATCACATTCATTAGATGATTTCTTGGATGAGTGAATATGTGGACAGGTTTTATCTGAGAAACAAGTGACGACAACAACAACAACAAAAACGTTTAAAAATGCACCTGCTATTGTTTACCACAACTGGTGCGGTTGATAGAAGTTTCCTTTCAAATGCCGTTCCAGGGTTAACAGCTCACGTATGCTTGTGCCTACAGCAAAATGCATCTAATATAAGGAAGAAAACGAAGGCACCAAATTCCAAAGAACAGGTCGACGCATGGCATTCTGGGATTTCTTCTTTGTCCTTTTTGCATTCCATTTGAAACTCTGCATTTTTCTATTTCTTTTGTAACAATGGCCATTGGCATGCCTATGAGCAGCACATCTGCCCATCTCCAAATGATATATATTTACCAATAAAAAAAGTAAAATAAGCCTTCTGTAAATGTATGCATGAGGTCAGGCTGGATCTCTGATATCAGCAATCAACCACTCATAATCAGCTATTTCAGTGTGAGGTGGCAAAATTTTGTGTTCTCTTGGATGAAACTATCAATGTTGTTCTGATGCAAAAATGAAGCTTTTTTGTGTATCGGTTCAAAAACGTGTTTTTAAGAGAGAGGGAAAGAGAGAGATATGAGCTTCTAAAACCTATTCTAACAATTCTTTCCATTCTAAAGACAACACTGCTTAGTAGAAAATGTAAAAGAAAAGAAAAAAATCAGTGACAACAGGGACCGTATAATAGTTCATTTATAAGGCTAAATTGGTATTTTTTAATTTGAAAACCAAATACATACAGCATAAACAAATTACATTTAATAAATTCCAAGCCTGGCTTCGGTGTACAGAATATCCAATGATGAAATAAAAATGCTTGAAAAAACTGATATTGTGTATGTATACACAAGTATAAAGCCTCTTTTTAATTTCAGAAATGAAACCTTAACTGGACTTTAGGAATGCTTGAATGAGATCTCTTTGCATTCAGTAGAATTTCGACAATTAAAGTGTGGGTATCTTCAATACTGCACTCTTCCTCTAGATTTTTTCAGTTTAGCTTTTATTATTTTCTATCTACTTGCAATATTAAATATTTTTCTTTTAATTTTTGCAGGCCTTGGGGAGTGGGAGGGTTATATTGGCATCCAGGGAGATGTATTGGCAGTCTATTGATTTCCATCTTTCTTTCACTTCTTTCAAGCTTTTCAATTCTCAATCTCTGTCTTTCTGGCACATTTCAGGAGCAGTTGGTGAAGAGCCCGTTGAGGTGCTCTATGCTCTTGACTGAGCACCATCGGCTGCAATTTCACCCCCTTTGCTTGCTTTCTCTCTCTAAGTATCTTCCCCTCCCTTTCCTTATCTCTTCTCTTTTTCCATCAAACAGAGAAACACCTCTTGCTTTTTCTGTGGGAATGGTGCTTGCTTTTTCATGATTTTACTCAATGTATGTGCCTGCCTGTTTATAAAACACCTGTTTTTTTTGTATCCGAACACACTCACAAACACGCTACCACTTGAAAGCTTATTTTGCACCATGTGGCTGACTGTTCCTCTAAGAGTTTCATTAGCATCACTTCATCCTATAATCATTTCTGAGTTAGTCTTTATATTACATACCCTTCCCGACCCGCTGCATCAGTCTTTCTTTCCTCACTGAATAAACACTCATGATAATTGCCGCTCGTTTGCTATAGTAACATTCCGATGAAAAAATCACTGTGATGCTGAAGTATTTTGCTCTGCGTGATCTGTAATCTGTTTTTAGTTATTCACAATTATAACGCACTATAAAAGATAAAAAATGAATTATTCTAGTCCAATTAATGACCACTTCAGTTTCTTCACTTCCTCCCGGTGACCCCACTGCTCACCGATGAAACCATGTGTTTCCCAATCCCTCATTCTCTTTTCCGCAAAGCTGATTCAATGGCACTTGAGCTGCTTGGATATTCAAGGGCAATCAGTGAGACACCATCACCCTGAGCACTACGCTGGCCTCTACAGCAAGGTTTAACCAGAGGAGTGGCCTGGGTTAATGTTAACGCCGCATAGATTGACGGATCAGTGGTCTTGAAGGATGTAAGAAACCTCAGAATGCCTTCTGCCGTCCTGATTGACCCATTAAATCATCCAGAAGTGTTCACTAGAACAAACACACAGAGCCATGTGGGGGAATGATGATGATCTGGGCAGAACTGGCCTTTGAATGCACGTCTTGGGGCTGATTGCGTTCAGAAGCACTACCTTGCAGCATGTTGTGGGCAGCCTATTCCGCTTTATCAAACATTGATCAAAAACACTCTTGAGATACAGCAAAAGAAGTCAGCTGGGGGGAGGGGACACTTCTCTGTCTATTACAATGAACAATAGATGATGGATGGATGGATAGACCGGATGGACAGACAGACAGACCGATAGATAGATTGATAGATAGATAGCAGGGCTGTACAGTGCTACATATATGTTGCACGTGCTATGAAAAAACTGGTCTGTGCGATGGATAAATTTACCACTGTAGCACGCGTGTGATACAGTTTTGCACGTTCATAACACAGCCGCTTAATAGTGTGAAGTGATTTCGTTGTGCTTGTTTGTGTGTGTGTGAGATTGTTATACTTGGTAGTTTGGGGTGTGCGATATGACGATTTTTGATCGTGGACGATTAAAATGTCTCCACGATCTGCTTTTGAAGAAGCTGGTCCACATTGACTTTTACAGTAGGAAAAAAATACCATGGAATTCACTGTGGACCAGCAACTGCTTGGTTACCCACATTCTTCAAAAATAACTTGTATGTTC